TTCAACCCCCATTGTCAATGGACTTATGACATTCTTCGTTTGGTATGTGTTGGCGGGAACTGAGTTTGGTTGTGGCAACACCCATGACAGGAGATGCAATAGATCATTGAAACTACAGTTTGACCAGCCGTACTTAGCCTTTAGGATGAGCAGCTCAAGCACAAAACATAGCAATATCCAATGTGTCGGACAGCCCTTTTCAACACCATACACAGTCTCCTTCGATGCTTTTGTCTCCCTTTCCAAATTTTCTAGACCTTTCGGGCTATTTAGTAAAATCTCTGGTCCAAGGGCTCGAATCATGTCCTCCAAATCATCTTCATCCCCGACACGTGCTCCACCATCATTATTGGCACCACCTTCGTCGTTACCATCCCAACCACCAGCATCACCACCTTGTTCATTGCCAAACTCGAAATCCATTCGTACATCAAGCTCTGCTGAATATTGGGACAGGGATTCTATGATTTCATCGTCGTATTCCTCCTCATCCTCGTCGTTAACAATAATCGTTTCACCATGATGAATCCACACTGTGTAGTCCTCAACAAATCCTCGTATAATCAAATGTGATCTAATGATAGTCACATCTGTCCATGCCATACGGTTCTTGCAATCTTTACAGGGACAAATAATTGTATCATTATTCTCTTTCAATGTCGTAGCATGCTTCTTTACGGCTTCAATAAATTTATCCACCTCTTCACGGAAACCTGCTTTGAACCTTAACGAACCATACATCCAAGAGTTCCTGTACTCCATCTTTTACAACAACAACAAAACAAACATTAAAGGACTACTTATTCAGATATATATAAAAATAAATCAAATTAATAATTACTTGAGAATAATTGTATATACTTTAGATATATATGAATATAAATCTAATATAATTACATGAAGCATACAAACACACCATGGTAGAGGAAAATTAATTAATGGCCTATTTATCCATAATTAATTAAAATACATATTTATTGATTATAATAAACAATTTTAAAGATAATAATTAGCAACAATTATACTCTACCCAATATCTTTCATACAAACCTTAGTCTAAATTTACAAAAACGAAATTAATAAAAAAAACTAAATCCTAGATCTAGATCTACATGCACATGAAACATGCATAAAACTAACTAATTGTTCACTAAAATCAAGAAACATGGACCAAATAAGGGTATGATCTTGTTCCCCTCCCTAATTTACCCTAGTACATTTGAAACTTGGGTCTAATTTGCTTCATAAGTAGCTCAAGCACCATAGAAGAGAGATAAAAACAAAACTTTAATTACTCACTAACCAACCATTAAAACTACAAAAAAAGTGCGGAATAGCATTTTTTACCTTCTACAACCTCTCCACCAAAGGATTTGAGACTAAAACCTTCCCCCCCTTATTAGAGCAATTTTTGGAGGTGCCCAAGGCCTCTCCACCTTTCTTTCACAGGTTGGAGTGAGTGACTCGAGCAGGAAGAAGGTGCTGCAACTGTTTTATATGTGGGTCATTTGTAGGGACGACTGGTGATTGAGCCGCCCCTACAAATCAGAGCTATTTATACAGGGGTCATTTATAGGAGCGGCTGGTGATTGAGCCGCCCCTATAAATCGGAGCTATTTATACGTGGGCCATTTGTAGGGGCGACTCAATCACCAGCCGCCCGTACAGATAGAAACGTCGGGGACGGCTGGTGAGTGAGCCGCCCCTACAAATCAGATCCATTTGTAGGGGTGGCTCGTATCACCAGCCGTCCCTGCTGTTCCATTTGTAGGGGCAGCTGGTGTCTGGGCACCCGAACACGGCACTGTAGGGCGGCTTCATCACCAGCCGCTTCTAAAAAAAAATTTGACCCATTGCTAAAAATCATTTTTTACGTAGTGCTGGACACTGACCTGAGTTGATTATGGGGTCTCACCGCATGCATGCATGGCGAACTTAAAGACAAGTCCATTACGATCTATACACAGTGTCTGTCACTTTCTTTTCCAGAACAGAAGTCGTTCGACGACATAGTAAACATACAGTTAGTTGGGTTTGGCAAAACTTCGCCACTGCACTGATAAACCAAAATAAATATAAAATGATAGGTCATGGGTGACTTTGTCTGTCAGCAACTTATATTAACTGGCTGGAAAAAGTGTATGGTGCGTTCCACATACACCACTGATACTTTGATATACTCCACTTGTAGACGAGTGAGTCGGCGTCGGCGAGGGCAGTTTCTGGCGGATCGTGTCCTCTCTATCACCATGACGGGCGGTACTCGGCCCATCTACGGGAAACCAAGCAGGAACATCCTTGCTTTCCTGGCCCATGCGATGACGAAGCGTAATGGGCCCATCGTTAAACAGGACGACAACTTTATCTGTGTCTAACGGCCCACCACTTAGCACATATTCTCATTGACGTGAATGTTTAAACACTATAGAACATGCAGTATTTTCATGTTCAGGTTATTTGAATATATCGAGTTTTTCTATAACATGATAATTTTTTCTCTTGCACGTCCATTATGCCATCGTGACTTTCATTATGCTTTATTGAAGAACCAACGGCTTGAATCACTGTTTACACTTTGATGAGATATATACAGTACGGAATCCAGAAGTTTAAATGTTTATTAGGCATACTGTGAACACTTAGGCACTGTAATCATTTAGGAACAAATCAGTATTCTGGCAACCTTTTTCCCTCAACAAAAGCATATTTATACAAACAAAATAGATCGACATGAAAATGAAACTGAGTTGAGCATTAACCAGCTTCCACTGTAAGCAAAGCCCATAAGTATGTGTTACCTTTTTCCCTCAACAAAAGCAAGTTTTACACAATGTCATATACTGCATTCAGCTCCACTTGCTGACACTTCCTCACCAAATATTTACCCTGATGGAAAAGGTAAGGGGAAAAAAAAGATGTCCTAGTCAGCTACTTTCCTTTCAAACCCCTTTTAGCTTAGCACCTCCATGCTTCATCGACTAGTGCATTCAGCTGATGAAAGGTTGTTGCCAAAAGGGGCATTACAGACAGGACCAATGTGGCATTCAGGCAGAAGGAAAACCAGACATGAGTGAGCGCTAAATGATTGAATAACTACAGAAGAAACAAGTGCTTCATACAACAGCATAACCTTGATGCAGCTCCTGTAATACTCAGCCATCTATTTTTTTTTTCCAAGTTTTTTTTTTATAAAACACGTCAGGATTCATTCCTAGGCTTCATACCCGTCTGTTCGAGGATCTTTGTGTGTTCCCAATTGTATGCCCAAAATGTCTGAAAGTGCTACTTAAACCTCTTTCCAGACATGAAACCATATATTATTTTTTCTTGAAAGGAAAACAGAAGATATTTCACATAATTTTAATTTCATGTACAATTTTGATCATATTAAACTCAGATACGAGTTTACCAATGACATGATCAGGATAACTCAACAGGACAAGCACGATTGATCACAATAACTTGAAACTTCAAGCTTAAACAGCTTAAAGAAAATACATTTAAAGACAGTAGTAGGTTAGAAAGAAACTAACAGCAGCAGGCTTAAGATGAAAGATTCATCTGTTTTCTAGGTCTTACTGTCAAGAGGCAGCTCAGACAGTATCATTGAGTCTTTGCTAAAAATGACAAACTACAGTAATCTGAAAAGATACCACGCGTGGACAGAATTCATAACCAACTGCTCAAATCACTGTTTACACTTTGATGAGCTATATAGTATATACTATACGGAATCCAAAAGTTTAAATGTTTAGGCATACTGTGAACACTTAGGCACTGTAATCATTTAGGCACAAATCAGTATTCGGCAATCCATACATATGTGAAAATAGTGATTAAATAATTACAGCATGCATAATTGTTCACGAACCAGAAACAATTTATTGAGAAAACACATAGAAGTTGTAAGATGCAAGATAACAGATAATCAAGAGCTAGTATGGTACCAAGGGTGTAGAATCTCATGTAGATGTGGGCTTATACGCTGTAGTATACCCCAGGCTAGTCTAGCTTCCTCATCCACACTAACTTGAACTCAAAATGAATATACAAAAATCTGCACCATTCACCTTCCTCGACCACAGATAAAAGGACGAATGCAGCTCATGCCACTTTGGGATACAAATTTTGCAAGTTTTTACTAGTATAAAGCATCTGAGTTCCATACCTGCTAACATATATTCTTCTATCTATTCACAAACAGCAAAAGTTTTCTTCTGAATCTAAATTATTACTAGAATCTTTGTATTTCCAGTGGTATGTATAAAAAGGTCAGACACTGCTATTTTATTTTTTTTTGTTTCACAAAGTTCAGACATTGCTAGTTGGCAAACCATCTTTAAGACACGAAACTAACACTGAATCTGAAATTGATTTTCAAGAAAGGACTATGGCACGTAGCACAGAAAGTTTTAGTTCCATGTAGCTGAATTGCGCATTAACCAAACATGCCTGAACATTACACCAAAACTGCTCAACAGCAGCAAACTAAGGATGATGGATCATCTACAACCACAACATATCATAATATCTTTTGCACCATTTAAACTACTTAAACTGCTCAACAGAAAAAGAAAAAAAATTGACAGTAGCAGCTTTGGTAGTCAACAGCAGCAGACTAAAGATGATGGATCAATATTGTCTATTCTGAAAGGTCTTACTTCCATGTGGCACATCAGAGATCAGCGGGTCCTCCTAACAAACGATCTGGAAAAAAAATGACATGAACAACATCATAAGCAACTTCCGACTCAGCACTTGCACTTCATGAGCTATGTGGTAGTAATAATTCAAAGATTTAACTACAGCAAGCTCCACATAAATGCTTCAAGATATGCAAGAAATTAACAGTCAATTTCCATTTAAAAAAAAACTGAAACAAGATAGCATGAAAGTACTAGATCGACAGATTTGTACGAGTATTTAACAATGCCACCAAGACAACGACATGGTAAAAAGTAAGTTTGGCTTTTCAGTGTCATATATTCTGTTTGCTCTGCTTAAATTGCAATTAGTAGTCCATTCACAAGCCAGAACCAACTAAGCAAATATATTGAAGCTGCAAAGACAAGGAAGGCCAAAGGATCAGCAAGGGTTAGTACAATACCAGGAGTGTAGAAGCTCATGTAGGGTAGGACATTGGAGAAGTCCCAGGGCTTGTCAACCTTCCTCACTCGCCCTGACTTGAGCTCCATCATGAACAATCCAACACCTGAGGTGACGAAGATGATGCCCACACCCTCTGCGAAGCCAACCACAGATGCAGAGTCACTAGGGTTCGCCATGGGCATCTTTTTCTCCAGATTAATGACCCTGCATTGTACCCATTATGCAATTCCCTCTAAACTCACTCTTCTCGACCACAGATGAAGTCTGGAATCCTCAATGCCAGCAAGGCCCAGAGAATGATCCTCCATCACCATGAGCGCGAATCCGCCGTGCATTGCTGGTGGCTGGGGCTTAATCACAGATAGTAAATTGTTGGCCCAGTCATACTTGACAATTGTAGCAGCCTCCCGAAGTGCAAAGTAGATTTCGTCTCCAATGAGAGGACCACGGCTGTAGGCCACATCAGGAACACTGTTGAGCGTGACTGGCGCCCTCCACGCGCCTATCTCAGATGAGTACATGGCCGCCCACATTGTAGGAGGACTCGTGTGTTCGGTCAACACGTGGACCAAACAGAAGGGGCCACCGTGGCAGTCGAGGTGATCACAGCCAGCCGCAGCGCAGAGCACCGCGGCCAACATTTGGGACGTCCCCCAGATTCGGAATTCCGGGTTAGGCACACGAGCTGCCCACCAGATTCGGATTTCCGGATCAGGATCAGGCACACGATGGCGGTCGCCCGTGACGGGGTCACAGACATGGTAATAGCGGTCTCCACCAAACATACCGAAGAGGACGCGGTCGTGGCGATAGTCGAGGGGCATCGCATAGGGGGCATCGTCGGACTCCGGAGTGGGGAAGGCAGGCACTGCTGTGGTGAGGACGAAGCGGCGAGCCACGCTTCCTTCGATTCCTACCTTCCCGTTGATGAGGCCGAGGAGAGGAGGGGCTCCGTGGAAGTCGCGGTACCGGCGGAGGAAGGCGGGGTCGGAGAGGGTACGGAGCCATGGCTTGCAGACCAGGGCGGCGCGGAAGAGCCACTGGGGCTCGTCCGGCGGGAGGCGGAGCAGGATCTCGGAGATGGCGTCGTCGGTCAGGTCAGGCGGCGGCGGCATGGAGCACTTGAGGAATCAGTGGTCGGCGGAGCGAGATGTGATGCGGAGGATTTGGGATGGGGATTGGCCGATTGGAGAAGACAGAAGAGGACAAGTCGAGGGAGAGCGGAGAGCCCGACTACACGAGTAGTGGGCTCAGCTCGTTCGTCCCTCGTCCGTACCTGATGGCTAGGGTGCTGATTGGATCGGTGACGAGGTGAGCCTAGCTGGCTCCTGTGAGCCTGGCTAAAGTTTGGACAGGCCGGTTGTGTGCAACATGGTTGATTGTAAAGAGTACATGCTAGCAGCCCGTTCGTTTCGGCTGAAAGGATCCTGGATTATTACTGCTGGCTAATTTGATATGAGAGAAAAATACTATTCTGGCTTATAATCCATGATTATTTACGATCAAGCGAACAGGCTGTAGATGAATGCATATGTTCTTTAGTTACCTGCTCTCTGCCTTGTAGATGCGTCTAGGGCGTGATTGGTTCCCTGTTGAGGAGAGCCTGACTGGTAGGTGCTCCTACCAGCCAGGCCAAGCTGGGCCAGGCCAGTTGCATGCAGGACCTTGATGTTTGGTTGATGGAATGGATATACACAGGATGAATACACCAGTTGTTTGGTTACATGTTTCTTTGCCTGCCTGCTACATCAGCTCTCTCTCACACAAGCCATGATGCGCGCTCATCCTAGCCTGGCCCGACAGAAACGCAAGTCATCCTGCGTTTCTGTCGGGCCAGGCTCTGGGAGGCGTGTTGCCTGTAGGTGGCCTAGCCCTGGCAGCCATACATCGCACCAAACACGAGATTCCTGCACCGGTGGATGCATGCATGCGGGCGTCAGGCCAACCAAACACTCCCCTATTCTCTCTCTCAGAGTCAAGGTAACAAATAGCGGAGCGGGTCCATAGCGGTTTGGTGTCTACATAGCGGATTGCGGATAGTGGACGCTAAGTTCTAATAATATTATCTAATAATCTCGCATAATTTAGATATACATATACCTTAAATAATGACTTTCTCAAACCCGCAACGTCATAGCGGTAGCGGTAAGGGGCCACTGCCGCTATTGCGCCCTCTACAAATGCTATTGAGTACCGTGCTCGCGCCCCCGTGAGCCAGGCTAGGAGGAAACAGAATCCATTCTCGTTGCCTCATAGCCAGGCTTGACAGGGCTTGCTACATGTCGCAGGGCAGACCCTATCGTGTGTGCAGCGAACCAATCGCTACCGACCAGCATCTCATGAGCCTGTGCTGGCTAAAAACGGCCAACCAATCACGCCCTAGCTGTCACCGTCTGCGCACTGTCGGCCAAACGACTAGCACTTTTGTGCCGAAGCTCTAGGCAGCATGGAGTGTAGTCCACCCACCCTTTTGGTCATCATTGATCACAATTCACAAAGGCAAAGTAAGCAACTTCAAATATTATCTCAAATATTTACATTTTCATCGACCATTGCTAATAATTTTGTGGTTCTTTATTGTTTATCTAGATTCTAGGGATTAGATTCTTTGTGTTTTTTCCTCTGACATTCACATTTATGAAAGCAAATAAATTGGAATATTCTTGTGGGTGCTAGGAAAAACATGGAAAAAAATTCAAAAGAAAAGCAGAAGAATTCATATTGTCCAAATGATCAAATACGACCTAGGCTTTATGCAAGTAAATTTGATGCTTACCATGCTAATCAGAGAGAGAGAGAGAGGGCGAGAAGGGAATGCCAACCTTGCACATGCAATTTTCCCTGTTCATAGATTGGGGGAAAAGAAAGTCTAAGAAGGTTTCATTCGCAATGATGGTTCGATGATTTTGGAAGTTGGCTTGAATATAATGAGGCTGAAGATAGAGCATATTGTTTCTATTGTTCCTTGTTCACGGAAAATAAGGATGCATGATATAATGCATTTGTTGGTGAGGGTTGGAATGGTTATCATAGGAAAGAGCAGCTCAAGTTGCATGTAGATGATGTTGGTGGATCACCTATATTGCAATGAATAAGTGTCATGATTTTCTACAGAGAAATCAACACATATATGTTGTTATGCATAAGAAAAGTGATGCATCTAAGGAGGCTTATTTTACTCGACCGAATGTATTGATACTGCTAGGCTACTATTGAAGCAAGGCTTGTCTTTCCGTGGCCATGATGAGTCGAAGGAGTCTTTGAATAAAAGGAATTTCTTGGAGGCTTGTGATTGCTTAGCATAACATGATCTACATTCAGGGAAGGCAGTGGGTATTGCAGATAATAGTTGTGTGGATGGCTCATGAAATCCGAACATTATGTAGTATTTTTGCAAATGAAATTCTACATTCTATTCTAGAAAAAAAATTGGGATGACATGGTTTGCATGCTAATGAGTCAACAAAAAGTTTTTTTTGGCAAATAACATATAGATGTGGTCTTGAGGTATGTTGACAAATGTAGAATTTTTGAAAGAGATGTTTGTTGGCTTTGTGCACGGGGCTAAAATATAATGTGAGGTGGCCTCGTTGTCGCAATATACCTTTAGGTGACGGACAATGCGTGAGTTGCTGGTTGCCTCAAAACAAGTTATAGTAATGGCGCTAGTAATATGCAAGGTGAATTCAATGGGATGCATCATTGATTATAATAGAAAGTGGTTCATTGTTTTGCTCACCTACTTCAGTTTGTTGCTGTGGTTGTTGTGTGAAAGCATAAGGGTATTAGCAATTTCTTAACCATGATTTACAGCTTATTAAATGTAGTCGGTGGAACAACCAAGAGAAAGAACATGATTACGGATATCAATCATGAACAAGTGACAAAAGCCTCAGGTTTGAGCAACTTGAAACTGGAGAGGGTTAAATCAAGAGTAATGTCTTCAAAGACTCATAAATTTATAACATCTATCTCCCTTTCTGGATGGTCAATGGAATTTTGAACATTTGAACAGTTAGTGACAGTAGTCCCGGAAAGCATTGCCCTTGAATAGTTTTGCCACTTGCCAGAATATGTCCTCCAACACAATGCTTTGTACCGACTTAAATCTCTCTACCCATTTTTACTGTGCTTGAAATATTTTGATAAAAAAGGTATGTATTGTTCCTTAGAAAATTTAAATTCAATTAGAACACAAAAAAAAACTATCAAGGCTTCATCATGCAGATTTAATACACATAATGCACTGTAGTAGAGATTGCAGCCAACTATGAATTTGGGCTCTTATCTTCATATATACAAGCTCTACCAACCTGGTCCCAAATTTCTTCAGTTAACTTACGAGATATTATGCTCTACTACACAACTCCAATTTACAAGCGCTTGGGAAACGTTGGTCATACAGAAAGATTGGAAGCAGGAAAAGAAAATCACACCAATGCCCTAACATGACCACAAACATTGATCTAGAATCTACACACTTGTAATCACCTAAAATAACCTGGGTCATCAGCACTTGCATCAACTAATCACCTGCACAGTTGTGCTGTGCTACACTGGGCATTTGAGCCACATCAAGAAAATTCCAATAAGCAACTGGAATTACTTCTGGGATTCTAGTCTAGCATGTCGCATCCCGAAAGAATTCAGTAGGGATTTGTGGTGGACACTGCTTCTTTGCAACAAATTTGTACTGAGGAAGGAAAGGGAGAGGATCCCATTAGTACTATCAAAAGGGCTGTTAACTGAAGAAATTTGGGACCAGATCCAATTACCTTATGTTGACTGTACTTTTCTATGATTGCTGGAAGGTTGGTCCCAGAACCAACGCTGCAAAGGCGATGCAATGCCTTTACACAGTCGCTCAACTCGGACGGCTTGTACTGTGTGTAATGAGCAAGTGTGGAATTCTGCTTCCAATTGACAATGAGATGTGTAAGTTAGCTCGCAAGACATTTCACTAGGCAACTGCTATAGAGATGGAACAGCAACATGATTATTCCACCTACCCAAGGAGACTTTGTTGGCTGTAGTATAAATCTCGCCAAGAAAATAGCCGATGCAGCTATTAGTGATGGAGGGTAAGAGAGTAGATTGTACTCCAGTAGTGATAGCTCAGCAATGTAATTGGCAAGGAACTCGAGATGCAAAGCAGGATCCTGTACAAAGAGAAATTGTCAGTGAATTGTTGTCATGTTTGTAACTTAATAGGAATTCCTTCCAAACCAGAAACTGACTATATAGCAGTACCTCGTCACATGCTTGTGCAGCACGAGCAAATCTCCTATTGTAAGGAAAAAAAGAAGAGTTAGTGGTAAGTTAGATTAGTATAATCATCATAAATTTTACTAAAATGAAATAGAACAGAAAAGCACCTCAAAAAGCACTTTGCTGTAGGTGCTGTCATTTCAAACTTCAAGTATTTCAGTACAGAAGCTTCCATATCTAGAACCTGTTAACGTACAAGTTATTTAGTGACAATGACAAACAAGGGACTATTCGATATGGTCTGCTGTATTTTTTTTAAAGAATGATAGGAAGTAAACATATCACAAACCTCATCTCTGAAGTATGTATTGTCTGTTATGTAGCAGAATTCTTCTACTTGGGGTGCACATATCTCCTCATATTTTCTGAATTTGAAGTTTCCAACATGTCAAAATCAGTATGCCAACGTTGTAATAATAACTGAAGATAATAACTCAATGAAATAAATGGAATGAGAAGCAGAATCTTACGCAGCTATAAGCATGCAAGAAACACCAAGTAATTGCAGCCGTTGGCGGTTAATTTCGTTACCAGAAAGATAACGGTCAATGTAGTTAACTGTAAGGTACAAAGTATCAGGAACAAGACGATATTCTTCAGCAACCTGCATGAGGGAAAAATAATGAATACAACGGAAAGTTGACAAGATTGTTCTTTAGGCTTTCTTATTTATAGCAGAAAAAGCTTACTTCCACAAGCCAGTCTATCAAAATTGCCCTCATGCTTGGGTTGATGTCTTTTTGAATTGTTTCCATGAAATCAGTTGATGGTCTTTTCTTCGTCTGCCAGAAAGTAAAGCACTATTAGTGGCAATCAAGGAAGAAGCAAAGTTTTCTAGGACTCTTTGACGTATGTAGAGATCAAGTGTAGCCCAAATTTCCTCGGAACAAAACATAGACATTCCTTCAATCAAATCGAGTTTCATTAATGCGCCCAATTATAAAACTTCACATAAAAAGAATCAGAAATTGCACCCGCACTGGTGAACTGCAATTATATATGATCTAACACACTTAAGGCCCCGTTTGGCAGGGCTTCACTTCACTAGTGAAGCCATTTTTTTTTTTGGCTTCAGCTCCACGAACAGTTCCACTGGTGGAGCTGAAGCGATTTTGGTAAATCGTTTGGCAAAATGACTTCCTTGTGAGAGCATGTTTTTAGGGGCCTGGAGGAGGAGCCGGGAGAAGCCACTTTTTTTGGCTCCATCCCACCCCAAATCATTGTGAGAGCATGTTTTTAGGGGCTTCACCAGTGAAGCTATTCACTTTACCCCGTTTGGCAGAAAACGGCTCCAAACGGCTCCTGAAGCTGGTGGAGAAGCCCTGCCAAACGGGGCCTTAATGTAAGCATATTACAGCCTAGCTTATTTAGCTGCATCAATTTAGCTATTTGGCAGTCAACCCAAAATTCCTTATGTTCAGTGCTTAAGTGAAACCATTTCGGCATCAGAGTTCAGAAAAGAATGTGTCACCTCAGCCTCCCGCAGGTGCATGTAAATGTCAGAAGCCAGAGTAGCGCACAACTGTGGGTCCTCATATTCATTGTCAACATCACAAATGCGGTCAATTTCCATTGGGGCAATAGCATTTTTCTTCCACTTATTTTCTGCAAAAGAAAGCAGGCCATACGCAACTGGATCAACAAAAAAGCATAACAAATTACACTTAAAAATGCAGATCTTAATTGCATTTCAGCAGACCTTCGACATCTCTATCCTCTGATATTCGCAGATGTTCATTTGTCCGTCGCTGCAATGAAGCCAGCATCGAGGAATCGTGATTGTCTATGTACTCAAAGTCGGGGCTTTTCATGGAGTCGCAAGTCGACATCGTCTCATCAATCGAAACAAAATCTCCTGAGCGTCCAGGAGACACCAAGCTGGTGCAGGATACCAAGGCCGGAGCGTGACTTGGCACATCGGCTGTGGTAGGCGCTTTAGGAGGAGGAACATTGTGCTTCTGTGTTGCGCTGCCATGGCGTGACACTAGTGGAGCTGGCTTGATGGAAGCCGACTTCACAGCTGAACCCCGAATGGAGCTCACACTTCGAGCACTTGCCAAAGATGGCTTCTTCAAGGGTACCGCTGAATTCAGCCTCTGCATGAGATTTGAACAAAATGAATAAACCATTTGAAACCTCTGTTCTGTTTGGGATCTCCACTAATCAGGTGCACAAAAATAATAGCAGGACTACAGAAGTATAATATAATATTGACAAGAGAAGACTGCAAAGCAAACAAAAACAAAAAGATTGCCACGCTGCGAAAACCAAGGAACTTTCTTTCGAAAATGCCATAGAAGGTCTAGCCTTTTGACCATGACCAGAATCCAAGATTTCAACCAATATAAACAGTATAGGAGGGATGCACACGTGGACGTGGTGGTGGGGACTCCGGACTCGTTTGTGACATTGCAACAATCTAGGGAGGGGCTTAAAGGTCCTCCTCCTCCGGCAACGGCTTTGGAAAGACCAAATCCTCGTGCCTGCGTGTCCTTGCCTTTTTTGTTCACGCCAAATTCAAGTGGAGCCCCATGTTCTGCAGGCAGCGAAGGGAGGGAAACTCCCGTTTGAAACGCGGAGGGATCCAAGCCGCACGTCCCGTCTCATCCCGGGGCTGCGGGGCCGCCCATCAGCTCAGCCTCGCGGTCACGGATGGTTTGGGTTTAAATCGTTTCGAACCGGAACTGCGCCCCTTCCAGTTTCAGGGTTTGCAAATGCAAAATTCCAGTGCGCACCAGCACCACTGCCTACTGCCTAGCCCCTAATGTCCATCTCATCACAATATTATTTGTACTCGTACATACAGTGCACACATTCGCCCCTTGAGTCTGCAGCACAGCAAGAGAAAGAAGCGTTGCAGGTTTCTCTGTTTTTTAAGATAACAAAAAAGCAAGGGCTCAAGTAAAGTTGCCGTACTGACTGTGAGTTACAGTAGGAAATCACAAAATTTGTAGGATTCAGGGAACGTTGAAGAGGTGACCCCCAATACAAACAGGACAAGAACGTATTCAGGGAATGTTGGAGAGGTGACAGCCTCTCAAGAACGGGAACGCGAAACCAAATCAGCGTATCTCCTACAGTAGCACAAAAAAACCCAAACCTTGCAAAGATCTCTTAGCAAAACGTAGACTGCATTTGTAAATAAAAAAAAATCCCCATCCAAGAAACCGCAAATGTCATCGATCCATCTCTGAAGGGGAAGGCACGCCCGATTCGAACCATTCAGAAATCAGAAATAGAAACATTTGAAAGATTAGCCCATGCCCATGCCCATGCCCATCCAGGGATCATGGGTCCGAGAAAAGCACAACGAGTTCCGCATGAAATTCCCCCCAATCCCGCAACGATCCTTGAGACCTTGACGGGTAGAGTAGAGTCGTACATACCGCGCTGGTGGTGGGTGGCGCGACATTCCCAAGGCTGCCGCCAACGACAGCCCTGCCCCCTCGTGCGGCGACGTTGGTGACGTTGCCGAGCGCCACGCGCTTCTTGGCCTGCGCGGCGGAGGACGCCGCCGACTTGGGTCCCCCGGCGCCCTCCGCAATCGCGGGGCGCTTGGCGGTCGAGGACGAGGACGAGCGTCGGGAGGCGGCGACGGTCGACATCGTGGGTCTCAGCGGCGGGGGAGATCCGCTGGCCGAATCCCCCTCGGGCTAGAGCTACGGTGGTTTGGGGGGAGCGGAGGAGCGGGAGGTTTGGGTCCCGACCCGGCAGGCGGCAGCGGCGAGGGGTAGAAGGGCGAGGTCTGTTTATGTCGCCAGGGACATTAGGCCGTTGGTTGATCCACACCAACGGCAAGGTTTTGAAATTCAAATAGCTGCCCTGGATTGACATTGGTAGTACCGTTGTCCATTCTTTTTTTCCCCTAGATTGACGTGGTACGATTTTGGTTCTGAGGTCCCTGCAATTTATGGGCGTCTTTCAGCTGTCTTTTGTTATATAACATGTTGCTAGCGGTTAGGTTCTTTCCTCTCCATCTTTTATGATCAACACAGTAGATGAAAGTAAAGAATAAATAGATATATAAAGATTATTCTTTATTTCTTTTAATATTGGTAATTACAACATAAAGCTCCCAGGCATATATAGTCCTGCTAAGGTCTAAGAGTTTGGTAAGAGCCCACGTACAAACGGACTAACAGCCTGTTCAGTTGGCTGGTTCGTTTCGTTGCTAGCTCGTGAAGAAATACTGCTGGCTGGTTTGTGTGAGAGAAAAATATTGTTCCGGCTGAAAATTTACGATCGTTTACGACAAGCCACAGTCAAACGAACAGGCTATAGGATTAAGATTTCTCTCTCTCCTTTCCTTCTAGGATAGAGTCTGTATGTTTTACAACACTCTCCCTTAGGCGATTACTACGATATGTACATGCCTCGTTAAAAACTCCATCTGAAAACACAGTGGAAAAAACAATTTTTGGAGAAAAGAGTACATCACATTCTTTAATTGCATTGCACATGTTGTCTCATTAAAAACCTTGTGTAAGAAACCTTCAAGTAAAACTCACATAGGAAAAAAGAGTACAACATTTAACCTTCTTGGTCATGTATTCTTCATGAATAGATATTGATCTTCATAATCTAGACATAAACTTTAGTGTTTTAGCAAATATAATCTACTTGGTCTTTATAACTCTACTGGTTTACTTTCAAGGTAGATTCAAGAAAATATGCTCCCCTTATAAAGTCAAATTTTGAACTTTATTGTTCAAACCACACTTTTCATAAACGTGTGCTTAATTAATGGTACTATATCTTTCAAAAGTTGGCTCATATTCTTCTATAAATTATATGAGTATAAACAAGAGCAATATGCTTCATACATAATGACCACTTATTAGTTGTGCAAAACAAATAAAATTTATCTTTCTTGGTAATAAATCATTTCAGAGGATTATGGGGGTAAATAAGTAATATTCAATATCTACTAGATAGTGTATCAAACTTATAATATAGTTTGAATACTTCCAAGAACATTAGTTAAACTATTGTTTAATTTAGTGCGTGATACTATTCCTGCTTTAAGCTTCAAGTAATATTTTTCTCTGAAGATCATTTTTATTCTATGGAAATAATATTTGGCATTCAAAATAGGCTTTCTCTTTCCCTAATGTTAATATTAGATCTTCAATAGCTTACTTCAAAAGATATCCCCTATCATGGGCTTAAAATAATTCAAATTTATGTATCTCTGACTACAAGCGGAGGCCCATTCATATGCTATGCTAAAATTTTATGAGAAATCTTCACGCACATATTTAAATACGAGGGTTATTATACATTATATGCAGTGAGCTAGAATACATAAAGTGCACTTAAAATGTTCAGCATTACTACAAACTTAGGGATATTCTCCCTCTAATTTGCACATATCATAGTTTATAAAATTATTTAATTATCTAGCTTCTTTATTCTTTAACCTAAAAAATTAATCCAAGTACTCGTACTTAAAAAAATGGACCATACACTTTAAATGTATAAAATACACAACATTCAAATTCATATGAAATTTCTTTTAGAAATTTCTAATTACCATTAATACAAAATTCTCTAAATGTCTTTTCTTCAAAAATTCTAAATCATCTAAGTGTGTTATCCATCATCTTAATTCCATAATTATTCATCCCATCAATCGGATCACTTCTCCATTTAGCTAATTTCAGATTAACCAACTTCTCCTGATCTTAGCTACTTGGCCATAGACCAATTTATTGTTTATACATGCGATCTATTAAAAGCAAGATATTTCTTAGTTCAACAGAAACTATAGACATAGCGTACTAGCTAGCCAATATAATTCTGAGCGAAGTGCAAGGTAGCTATTAGCTACAAATATAGCTGCTATGCTAAGATTCATGCAGGAGTAGAAATAGTTGCAGCTCGACAAGAGCACAACATAGTGATACACATTTGAGTGTAATGTGGAATATTGATATTCAATCCACCGTAATAGATAACAACAAAATACAAAGCTATAAGCTTACTTGCAATTAGTGTAATGTAGTGAAAGTTAACTCGGTTGGAAGGGACGCAGCTAGGACTTCAAGTCCTGATACATGCACTTAAAGATAGATTTAAGAATGCTATGCCTATTAAATATGTATTACCCATATTTTCTCATGCCTTCACCCAAAATTCCTCCCCCTTTTCATGCCATAATTACTTCAAGTAGTAATCTGCTACATGCATCATCTGTGAATAATCATTTCTAATGTTTCATAGAATTCAATCATATTTCTAGTATTCATTGGTGTTGGCATGAAATTCACATATCCAGTGTACTATTCAGTGTACAACAACACATTCAAGGTAGTACATAAACTTTTAGTTCTCGGGCTAAAGTATTAAATACTTAGTTTTAGGATTATACATTTTTTGGCTAAATTGATCATTCTAAGATCAGTTAATATGCCAGTATACTCCAATTGTTCATGTGCTTCTAGGAAGTTCTGTTTTACTTCTACATAAATGGTAGTAGTGCATAAAGAACTATAACCTTCATGGTTAACTGAGACTTCTTTGTTGATAAAATCATTGCAAAAATTATTTAGATAGGCAAACTAGGCAATTGTTTATATGCAAAATATATAAATCTATAATTCATT